ACCCCGCCAATGCCCCCTCCCCTCCCGGCTGGAAGGCTAAATCCCCTTCTTATCCCGCTTTCCCGACCGCGAAATCGCGCAAAAGTGAGTAAGTTTCCCGTCCCCCGCAAGAATCCCCTGCGCATTACCGTGCCGAAGCCTTTCGCCCCTCCCGCCTACCCGGGGGGGGGGGGATGCATTTATTTGGCTGGGCGGTGATGAAGCCGTGAGGCCATGACTTTCACTGCGTCGGCAGTGCTGCTTTTTCTTTTCACTGCCCAACAATGACCTAAGTGGAGCGCGTCAAGCCCCTGGGATAGCCGCGATGGCCACACGAGCTGGTGCCCACCCCGGCCCCGTTTTCAGCCGCATGAGTGGATGACTGGCCATTCTTACGGCACTGCAAAAAAAAGTTTGAGCATTTTTGCGATCATTATTGCCGTAGGTCCTTTAAATTTCTCTTCGTCAGAAATTTGGGCCATGCGATTAAACGGTGAACCAAGTGAACAAGTGCTTCTACAAAACCTAGAAAGAATCAAATAAATGAGAATAAAATGGAAAGGCCGTACAGGGGGCCACTCACACACAGCACGCAGCCAATATCTGAAGGGTACGTTGCGTCATTGAGGCCCGCTTCGCAAACGCCGCGTCCTTGGACGCACGGTTCGCAGCGCACTAATTCGGTCGCGTTTATCCAAAGGGTACTTAGGATCCAGTGGGTCGCCGAGCCCGAGATACGACCCCTCTGTTTTTGCCCGGCTTTTTAGCGCACGGCTCGTCTTTGATGTCGCGTTACTGGGTCGCGAGCGCGGTGCCCGGCTCCGTGTTCGTTGAGGCAATATGCGACAGTGAATCCTGACGCAGAGAAACAACACGTTGTGTTCTATCTCGTTTGCGGTTGCTTTTGAGCTTCGCAGTGCTTTGAAAGACTGCGTCGCGCAAAACGATGTGCAGCAAGCACGAAAAACGTGTGGTGGCCGATCCAATGTTGGCCATTCACTTCGAAACTCTCACCGTTTCTTGGCTAATCTCCACTGTGGCCGCGAGGCCCAATGACATAGCGCGCGGTTCTCCCGCCACGTGCACAACATCCGCGCCACGGCCCACCGCAAGGACCAGGAGGGCCGTGTGCTGGTCGTCGATCTGGCGGACGTGCGCGGTGAGTACCAATGAGGCCAGACGGAGTCCGCGCCCAGGCTGTGGGCTCGCAGGGAGGCAATATTTTGGAGCAGGGTCACACAAACGACGCACACAGTTTCGTTTTAATACGATTAGGACGGTTTCCGGGGAATTTCTGCAATGTGCGAGCCAACGAGAAAGAACCGTCAAGGCCGTCCACAAAGGCCAGTTTCCCGTCAAAAATGATAAGGTCGCTGGAAGCGCGTCTCGTCACGCCGCCTCGTATGACACCGGGACGCCGTAGGGTGATTCCGCGCGTAGAGGGCGTTTTCGTGTCCACACCCTCCCCAGACCGAACTTATTCGAGTGCAGTCCATTTATACACTTAAGAATCTTGTTTGGCACTAGAATAGCTTGTTCCCTTTGTATACGCACTTTCAAAGCTAACATGTGACGCGGGGGAGGGGCCAAAAGGGTCGATTTTGTAAGTTCCGTCATGTCCATTCGCACCTTACACCAACTTTGCGGCTCTATAACCCTTCGTTCCATTCAAATCTTCGAATTCCACACACACCCATCAAATCTCTAACTAATAGTGACTATCTTGCTTGAATTTAAAGATCGTATATTGACTGGAACTGTACTTTCAGAACGCGTACTAAATGTCCACCGTACTCCGACTTTTACCTTAGCGGTTTCAAAGTAAGCACCAAAAAAACTACTAGGAGTGCTCCCTGCTCATAACCACCGCCGTATTTAGAATCAGCACGGTCTGTTTACCATGTGAACGAGTTTCGGTGACGAAAAAGTGAGAGGGGTGAGTGTGCGAGTGGAAGTTGTGTGTGAAATCGGTGGGTTGTAACAATTGCTGTAATTTCCGTATGCCCCTCTCGCTCCTCGTCTATTGCGTTTTGAAAGACATCCTACACGTGAAAAGATGTGTCTTGACGTCAAACTAGTGTGCCAAACTTATGGCATATTTCTGTGGCGATATGCAGTTGCAGTGAGCCAGAAACACCTGTTTGTAATTTCCGTGAAGCGTAATTTCCGTCATATTTTCAGTTAATTTCGTCATATTTTATAGGGGGAGAAAACGAAAGTCAAGTTTTAGCTCGCCCACGCTCAGAGTGTCTTCCTGGGGTTCAATTGATGCCATCTAGGCCAAATTCCGGCCAAACAAGCAAGATTGATTTCTTGACTTTCGAAGGTGGCTAAAACGGCCTCTACGCACGGAATCACCCCGTAACGAGACTTTGTAACTTCGCCACCAAGTTGCAGGCACACTGGTGGGGCGGGTGAGGCGCGTGAGGCTCGGGGGAGTGGCATCGCCAGCCTCTGGCCGCAGAGGGGAAGAGAAACGTCTCGAGGCCTCTTCCATTAGGCACACGAGACACGGTAGACACGTTTTGATTTCTGTAGTCCTTTACGACTCCTCGCGAGGATGCCAACTCAAGGATCTTTCTGTTTATAAGGAAATGCTATTGGTACTATCACTTGACTCAGAATTCAAATCCTATTCAAGAACTAGGGCGGCAAACGCGCCTGTAATTTGGCCGGCCTATATCAACACGCTAGACACGTTTTGATTTCTGTAGTCCTTTACGACTCCTCAAGGATGCCAACTCAAGGATCTTTCTGTTTATAAGGAAATTCTATTGGTACCATAGCTTGACTCAGTATTCAAATCCAATTCAAGAACTAGGGCGGCAAACGCGCCTGTAATTTGGCCGGCCTATATCGGTTTTCCGCCCACTGCGCGCCGCAGCGAGGATGAAGAACGGTGTTCTCGAGATAAAACACAAGCGTGGAGGCCGCGGCCAAGCCGCTTTTCCCCGGGAAATTAAATTCGATTATGCATTCCGTTCTATTACGAGCGCGCGGCAGCAATTCATTAAGAAAACAAAGGATGCCTTCCGCGAAACTTGCGCACGGCCTGTTGGGATTATGCATCTACCGCGTGTTTCTTGGGCAACGGCGTCGTCTTTTTCGTCGGCTATGATAAATAGGCCTTGTAAAAATCGGGTAAGCCAGCCGGAGAAGACGTAAAAGGCCATCATTTTGACGGGCACCACGAGTCGACAAAGAAATGAACCATTGCATCCGCCTCGGTACAGGAGGCGAGCCGATTCGGACCGTCAAGTGTCACCGGGGAAAATGGCTCGGGGTGGCCAGACAGGCCAGGGGTGGCGGGGGCAGGGGCCACGCTGGGGTCGTGGCGGTGGAGGGAGACGGGTCGGAGGACGAAGGAGAGGGAGGGAGACAGGGTGGTGGACGCGGAGCAGCCAGCGAAGAGGTGAGCAACCAGAACTCAAGACCAACTCCCGGAGACGTCGATTTGCACCGCTTTATCGGAGAAGAAGCAAAAAAGAGCCCGGCCAATTACACGACGCTGCGGCTGGAAATGAAGAGAGAAAAAGACGACGCGGTGGTAAACCAGGCAGGGTGTGTGGTAGGCACGTGAGCTTGAATTTCCCTTCTTGCTGTTGCCTCCAGGGACGGGGCGTGCTGGTGTTGATGTAGTGCTGCCCTGCCTGCCCCCGCCCCGCGCGCCCCACCCGCTCTAGAGCCCCCGGGGAGGTGAGGGCGCGTAGCAACGCGTAGACACAGGCCGAGGTGCCATGTGTTGGTACGAGGACCCACGGGGGGCCGCCCTTACACCACCCGCAGATTAAAACTGGTCGCGGCTAAACCCGACAGCCACGCGTGCAGTGCCGTGCTCAAATGCGGCGCTGTCCGGGGAATCTCTGACATAGCTATCCGCTACCCCGACGCTAGTTAAATAGCTACCCTTCCAAACATCAGAGTAAGCAGGAAACCAACAACCTTTTTCAAGTGGAACAAAATCTACACAATGTTCACGTGTTTGTTGATATATGACTCCGTTCGCAAGACAGAAGAACGAGGTTCTTTGGCAGTCACTGGACGTCATCAAAGAGCTTATGTGAATGTTGACATCACTGTCGCTAACTCCAGCATCCTCTGCAAAACGCAGACTGAACTTTTCTTCGAGGTGCTCGTGCTCAACACGCTGGACCGAAGCTGCTGGATGGAGCCACTTCTCGGCGGACAGGTGTCCACTTGGACGCCGTCTACTCTCACCGCCTCCCCTTTTCCTTTAATCGGGAACAAAGGAGAAGAGCGGCCCTCAACAATAATACTTAAGTCGCCTGGAGCCCTTGTCAAGAGCCCCCCGGAGAGGCGCTGGAGAGGCCGGGGAGCCCCCGGGCGGACGGGAATGGACAAGACTTGGATAAGACTCGAGATCGCCGCAGGCGCGACACTGGAGAGTGCGAGAGCGGCAACTTGGCGTCAGGTTGTAACGCCAGCCTCCCATTCTGATCGCCGCGATGTTTTGGAACAACAGCGAAACTGAACCGAGTTGGCATCAACAGCCGCCCGCCTCTAGGCACTGCCAGGCACACTGCTAGGCATTGCTTGCCCGCTATTAGCAATGATGATGGGGAAGGCCTCTGGTGGGGAAAGTATTGGAAGCAGCTTACTGCCTGCCCCTTCGCCGCACTGGGAAAACTAAGGAAAATCTTTTCCTGCTCGCCCATCTCTTTATCCCGACCCTCCTAAGACTCCGCTAAGTATCTCTGTCCTTCACAGTGATGGGTGCCACAGCGGTGGGGACTGTAAAATGAAAAGAATAAAAGGCCCTACAAAGTCTACAGGTACGGTACCTTGGCCCCTTGCAACCTTAACCTCAGTAGGTCACCAGTAGTATGGGATCGTCAAAGTCACAGCCAAGTTCTTAGATCCTCTGTTGTCAAGACTGCCGCGACATCCCATTGGATAATTCCTATGTCAGGACAACTTTTTATCATTTGCCCTGCGACTTGTCTTCAAACATCATGTGCTGCTTTTCAAAATTTCTCACCCAAATCAATTTGGCTACTCACCATATCCGGGTCCGGGGAGGCTGGGCCACAGCCCGGCCAGGGCCGCGACGAGCAGCAGCGCCCATGCCTCCATCTCGGCCCGCTGGGCTGAGCCTCAGCGAGTGCCCCGTCCTCCACGACGGCCGCCACGCGCCACGGGCCGCATCGCACAGGCTGCAACAAGTTCTTTATTTACTACTCGTCTCGCGTGGCGCTGCCTCATCCTGTTTCAAACGGAATCGCCACCCGAGGCGACGGTGGAACACCAGAGAGGCGGGCGAAAATATGACCCCTCGTGGAAGAGGCCCCTGGCGCCGGAGCCGCCTCTCTGTTTGCCAAAGGGACTAGGAGGCAGCCGACTGAAAAGTCAAACTTGGTAATCAGAGGCGGCCCGAAAAAGCTGAAACGCAATCGGAAGAGAAGTTTCGCTTAGTCTGCGAGTGTTGTTCACGCACAAGCTGTGAAAGAGGGGAAGGGGTGGCAGGTGGGGGTGAGCAAACAAGGCAGGCGGCTAACGAGCCAAAAGGCCAGCAGCAGGCAGGGTATGCACGGTTGACGCCTGTCTCAATCAGCAGCTCAGACTACTCAAGAGGTTTCAAGGCCATTTTCTCCATATTATCTCGAGACGCATCCCTGATGAAACGGCGCCCAGTCGGGCGGACCGGTCCCCGAGGAAAAGGGAAGGGGGCCCTTTCTATTTATTTTTGCCGTTTGCCCTGATATTAGACGCACAGGGCGCAGAGATTTTCCGCGACTCTGCCCGCGCTGCGCAAAAGCTCTCACGCACTGCTGGGAATCCAAAGCATGCATGCGCCTGACAGCCGGAGTCAGAATCAGAAAAGTGGAAAGTGACACATAATGCGAGCGGGATGAGCGGAGGAGGAGGGGTGGGGCCGCCTTTTATGCGCAGTGGCTACATTAGTTTCTTTGTTCGGAGGCAACCAAAGTTATTCTTAAAAAATAAAACAGAGGGAAAATGTTGTGTGTAATGAGCACGAGGGGGTAACGACTTCTGGAATCCGGCTGACAGCAAATTGGGAGGTAATCCGGGGTAATCCGGGGTAATCCGGGGTAATCCAGGATTATTTTGGTTGTAATCCGGAGGTAATTTGGGGATAATCCGGGGTAATCCGGGGTAATCCGTAATCCGGCTGACACGAAATTTACCAGTTGTTACCCCCTCGAATGAGCAAGTGCACCCTGGACAGCCTACAACGTCGGAAAGGATCCCTGAATTTAAGGTGGAATACTCGCATTTGAGTTTGTCAACTTTTCTGTGGACTTGTGAAACAGCAATAAACAACTTTCACTCGGGGATAAAAAAGAATAACACCGAGGGCGTAAAAAGAGGCCGGCAGAAATTTTGAGCGCGAACATGGAGAGGAGGGTCGGTAAAGGGTGCGAAGGCGTGGCCCGCTAAATATTCCCCGCACACGCTCCGATCCGTGCAGCAACACGGCCGGCACGGCGTGATCCGCCTTTTTATCCCCGCCGTTTTGTCCCTTTGCGCGGACGTGCCGCGGGGACCAATGCAGCGCGGCGGGCAGCGCGGCGAGCAGCGCGACCCTGGGGACCCGCCGCCGCGCCGCGACCCACCGCGCAGACCAGGGTTGACCCTCTTCGCCCTCTTCGCCCGACCTCACCTGACCCTCCTCCAATCTCTCAGACCCTTTTAGGGCCCTTTTTTCGGACATGGTTGTCACATGGTTATCACTTAGCCGAAGCACCGTGTCACCAACGCGGAAATGTCACTCGGAATCTCATGATAACCTTGTCTTGACTCTCTGTCATTTTGTTTTGTTACTAACGAGGACTGTCAGTTTCGGCAACAATGAACAACAGAAGGATTGTGGGAATACTCACGGTAGTAACTTGAGGCAGCGACACCGAGGAGTGCGATGTAGGGTATCCAAATTGAGCCAGCACTACCTGTCCCACCCCGTCCACCAGAACACAACACCGCGAGCGCGACCAGCGCCACCAGCTCCGGGGCTCACGTGGCCGCCCGGCGTACGCCCGGCGTCGCGACGCACGAGAGACGAGTAGTCCGCAGCGCTAGATCGGCTAGAGCGCACCCCGCCGTGTCCAGGAACCGTCCGCGGCCGCCGTCGCTCGCCGACTGCCGCGCGGAGCCCCGTCCGTTGGGGTGGGGGTGGCCGAAGTGGCGGCGGAAACACCCGAGGCCCGCGCCGGCACCTTCGGCTCGGCAGCCGCGGGGCTGGCCCGGCTGGCCTGGCTGGCTGGCCTGGTCGGCCGCGGGGCTGGCGCAAGGGCGGCAGGGGCGGCACGCGGTGAGGTAGGTCTGGCGTTGCATCGCCGCCGACACCCCGGCAGCCCCGGCGACGGGCCCGACTGCAAGCTACCGACCAAACCGAAAACGGCAGCGCGTTCCACGAATGCAGATCAGCGGGAAACGGGCAGACAGCCAATTAGTCCCTGGGGCCGCTCGCAGTGAAATGGGAGACGCTTTCGCCCTCCCTTCACCGTGACCAATGGACCAATGACAATGCAGTCCTCACCTGGGAACGCTTGTCACCCGAGGGCTATGAATATTTATCAGCGTGCCCTCCGTGCCCGCCGTCCCTCCACTCCGCCCACCCCGCGCGGCCGTCGGAGGGACGCGTCGAGCACCGGATGGCGGCATCAGATGCGGCCGCGCGACAGCAGGACGTAGGTCCCCGCACAGTGGGCCAGAAGGCCGGTGGAGGCGGCCAAAACTCTAGACGCGTTTTGAGCTCCAGAGTCGCTAAATGGGACTCGAATCAAACGTGTGACCCCACCAATGGATTCCTCGTCCGGAGAGCAATCCATTGGTGGGGTCACACGTTCGGTTCGAATCCCATTTAGCGACTCTGGAGCTCAAAATGCGTCTCGAGTTTTGGCCGCCTCCACCGGTCTTCTGGCCCACTGTGCCCCGTCGTCCCCAGGGACCGGCCGGGCCCGCCGCCCACCGCGACCCTAGCCATGCCAGCCATGCCAGCCACGCCAGCCAGCGCCCCGCGGCCGTGTGGTCATCGGGTCTAGGTCGACGGGGAGGGGCGTGGCGTGTCGACGAGGCCCGCGCCATCCTCGCCGTCGTGTTCGTCTAAATTTGTGACGATGCGGCATGATTCGGCGCTCTGGCTCTCTCGCACTCGCGCGGCGTCCCGGAGGAGAGCGAGGGAGACAGAGCGACCGAGCAGTGCTCGGGATCGCTGCCTCTTTTGATGCAATATGCAAAATGGGAGCGCGACGAACGGGGCCGCCGACAACAACGGCGACTTGCTCCTCGTTACCGAGCGCGGCGGACGAATGCCAGACACTCGAGACCGCAAAGACGAACCGCGGACTGCATTGCCGTCAGAGCGGCCACGGCCACGGCCGGCTTGTTGTGCCCCGGGATCAGCGGGGGCCGAAAACTCGCAGACAATGCACCCATTGTCAGGTTTGAAAGGAGTGCTCGATCTGTGTGTGAGTGTGTGTGTGTGTGTGATTGACGCGCCCACGCGGCCGGGCCCTGGTTCGTAGTGGCCCCACGGCCGCTGCTGTGGGCGGCTTGGTCCGCGTGCACTTCCACTTCCACGCACTCCCACCGTTCTTCAGAGTCTCTCCCCCCTGAATCATTGAGGAGCACAGCACCTCTCCAGCTTCCCTCCTCCACCGGTTCGACTGGTTCAGCCCGCGCCGAACGCGCTCCGGGACAACCTGCACCATTTTCTACTTTACTTTGAGGTGTCGAGTCTGTGCGGCAGCAGCAGGGCGGTGTTGCAAGTGCGGCGATTCGGTCGGCGGAGGCGGTCAACATCGCGGACGCATTTTGAGCTTCAGAGTCGCTAAACAGGACTCGAACCGACCGTGTGACCCCACCAATGGATTGCTCTCCGAACGAGGAATCCATTGGTGGGGTCGCACGGTCGATTGAGTTCTGTTTAGCGACTCTGGAGCTCAAAACGCGTCTGAGATTTTGGCGCCGCCTCCACCGGTCTTCTGGCCCTCTGTGCGGCGTGGAGATGAAAGGTCGCCGCACCCGCACGAAAAAATGGCTCGTCAGGCGGGTGCTGTGGCGTGGCAAGCGAGACCGGGAATGCAAACACGCCGCAGGCCAAGGAGTGCGCCTTCCACCCCCTCGACCCCCCCCCCTCCACACACCTACGGCCTCGTTGAATTTCAAAGGGCTGCGGCATTGTCTCTGATATGCGCAGTCTAGCCTCGCGACGGGACGCGACGCAACGCGACGCAAGCCGTGAGGAAGACAGCGAGCCGAACCGAACCAGACCGGGGCAGAGCGAGGGCACGCCGACAAAGACGGCCGGGAAACACGCTTATCATATCACGCGCACTCCCCGCGGAGGGAACGGCCGAAAAAGTTGTGTTTATTTCGGTGTTTCCGACCGGCCGGGCCGGTCTCGGGGCCCCGCGCCAGCGCAGCCAAGCCCCGGCCTCGCTCCATCCTCGCTAAGCGATCCTTCCGGCATTCATACCGCCCACTCTCTCTCCCTCCCTCCCCCCCCCCTTCTCTCTCTCTCTCCGTTCCTCTGCCTGTATCTCTCTCTGCTGCTCGCTCTCTCTCTTTTCTTTCGACATTGTTCGCAAAGTTGGAAACTCGAACGCTACTCCAATCGACGCTGGCTGGCCGGGTGATCCCAGCGCGGCCCTACTTGGCCCGGCCCTACTCGGCGCGGCCCTACCGACTTCTTGCTTCTATTTGGATCGCAGCGGGGTAGCCAAGGGGCAGCAGGGCAGCAGGGTGCATCCCGAGGGCACCACGCCCCGCCCGACCTCTGTGCCGCCCGATCGACTCATGCACCGAAAACAGAAAATGAAAACCAGGATTACGGCACGGCGTTTTAATACACTGAGAATGAAAAAGTCATGATCAATACCCAATTTTGGGCGAGGTTTACTTTCTCACCCAAATTTGGGCGAGGAATGTTTCCTCGCCCAATTTGGGCGAGGAAAGCTTCCTCGCCCAATTTTGGGTGAGAAAGGGTGTATCAGCTCCCTATATAGCTCCATAGTATTATGACCCAAATTTGGGCGAGGAAACTTTCCTCACCCAAATTTGGGCGAGGAAAATTTCCTCACCCAAATTTGGGGAATAAAGAATTCCTCACCCAAAATTTTAGTCATGATCATGACTCTTTCATTCTCAGTGTACTGAGTAAGGGAAAATTACGTGTGTCCGAGGGGATCAGTAAGTTTCGCAGGCGATGCTAATACTCCAGTGATGAAGTATTTTTTTTTTTTTACACATTTTCCTATTTCTCTTTTTTTTTCCAATTTACTTCAATTTATTCCAAGCCGCATTTCCGGTGGAGCGTCCACTTGAATCCTAGTTGCTTGGTCGGCGCCGCGCCGCGAGCGCCTTGCAAGACGAGGATAGGCTGGCCCGCCGCGCCGAGCTGTCTTGCGGGCCTGCCTGCCTCGCAGGCTGAAGACGCCGAGACCGCCCCGCTGCCTCGCTGCGATTCAGCGCCGAGGCTTTGTGTTTGACGGCGGAGGCGGAGTCTGTCTATCAATAAGCCAGCCCGCGGCACGCCTGGAGTACCTGGCCGGGACGCGCGGCGCGGCGGGGCGCCAGGATGCCGTGGTCTGTCGAGGCAGCGACTGACAAACAGCCCTCCGGCCGCAGCGCATCGCCGGCGCCGGCGGGGCGAGGCCGGCCGGGTTACCCGAGACCGCTCCATCGGGCTGGCTGCCTTTTCCGGTGTCCTGGCCGCGCTCTCGCCCGGAGCAGCCCCGGATCGGCCTCATCTTCAACATCCCCGCGGAAACGGCTTTGAAACGGCAGCGGAACGGCGGCCTCGCCGCGGCCGCCCGGCACGCACTCCCAAATTGGGGGCCATTACGCCGTGCGTTGCGGGGAGGGGAGGGGGAGCACAGTGGGCCAGAAGACCGGTGGAGGCGGCCAAAACTCCAGACGCGTTTTGAGCTCCTGAGTCGCTAAACAGGACTCGAACCGAACGTGTGACCCCACCAATGGATTGCTCTCCGAACGAGGAATCCATTGGTGGGGTCACACGTTCGGTTCGAGTCCCATTTAGCGACTCTGGAGCTCAAAACGCGTCTAGAGTTTTGGCCGCCTCCGCTGGTCTTCTGGCCCACTGTGAGGGGGAGGGGTAAACGGCTTCACCGTCTTGAGCTCGGAGGTGAGCGGGACGGGACAGGAGCCCCTCAAGTGGGAAGTGGACCATAGCTCCTGCGCGGATCTCTGGCCGGGCTGCGTTTGGGCCGCTGCTTCGGCTGATGGCACCGAGGTGCCGGCCTTCGGAGGCGACCTCGCCAGCGCGCGGCGCAGTGGAGCCGCAGATTGTTCTGCAGGCCTTCCACCAGGACGAACAAAAGGTCCTTGGACGGGCACTGGGACGGCCTAGGGTGGCCGAGGTGCGCTCCTCGGGGGTGCTCGACCATGCTCACGCACCCGCTGAAAAAAAAACTTGCCTGGCTTATGACAAACAAAAGAGCCACCTCGACAGGCCTGACGGCAACAGTTAGTCTGTTCACCAGACTGAGCGGTCCCCGCCTCATACGGCCCTTAGCCGTCGCCGCGCGCCCACCCCCTAGCCGCCTCCATTAGCAGCCTAATGCCTTTTATTGTGTTTTCAAGAACCCCTTTTTCGGGCCACCTTATTCCCCCCGCGCGAAAACAATGCATTCCCCCTTCTCTCCTGCCCGTGCCATAATTGCGGTATCCGCGGTTTTTGTCTGGTTTTGTTTGTTTTGGCGTTTGCCTGCTTGCCTCGGCTTTTTACACCGCCACTGGCGAACCGGCGGCGCCGAAAAGAGGAAAGTGGGAAGGGCGCCTCGCCGTTCGTCGTTCGCTGAGCCTGCCAATCCCAGCGCCGCCGCGCACAGTGGGCCAGAAGGCCGGTGGAGGCGGCCAAAACTCTAGACGCGTTTTGAGCTCCAGCGTCGCTAGACAGGACTCGAGTCGACCGAGTGACCCCACCAATGGATTCCTCGTTCGGAGAGCAATCCATTGGTGGGGTCCACGTTCGGTTCGAGTCCCATTTAGAGACTCTGGAGCTCAAAACGCGTCTGGAGTTTTGGCCGCCTCCACCGGACTTCTGGCCCACTGTGCCGCGCCGCGCCCCGCCTCGGCGCCAAGGCTGCCTGCGTATT